GCGGCCCCCTGATCGCCGATCTAGCTTCCACTCTTCACCCACCTCCGGGATCTTCGACTTCCACCCGTGACCGCGTTTCTTCCTTGTCGATCTCGTAATTTCCTAATCCAGCCACATCTTCTGCTTGTTTGTTCTTTTCGTTGCCATTCCTAAGTGATCTCTCTTCCAAATCCTCATATCTTCCGTGATCTCTTGCGACGGCGTCTATACGCATATATACAACATGAACCTCTGATCTCGGTCTCCTCTGACCGGTATTCACTCGTGGTCGAGGCGATTAGGTAACCTCACCCCGTCCGCCTTACATTTCCCCATGTGATTGCATCACATTGAAGCCGTTCCGATTGGCCAGTTCTCGCAGGAAGGCGTTCAATATTGCCCCGCAGTTGAGATCGGCCTCGTCGACCCAGGTTGGCTCATCATACCCTGCCCAATGAACCAGGAATTCTCGATAGATCCGACCAAATCGTGTCTTCTTCCCACTCCGCACATCAGAAATCCGCACGACCTCGTACTCACCGGCCCCTAGATCCGGGACCCAACTGTCCTCCGGGAGCAGGATCTCGTCGAAATCGAGACGATCCGCCTCATCTACCGTAAGTTCCACTCGCGGCCGATCCGGAAAATCCTTGACCAATTTCAACTTCGACACGTGCACTACTGGGAAGATCTGGTACCCGGTGCCTGTGATCTCGAGCTTGACGCTGAATTCGTTGATCTTCTCGGCGACCCGGAACGGCCCGTGCCAAAGGTGAGCCAATTTCCGCGCGTATCCTTCTTTCACCCGATCTAAGTATAACCAGACACGGGATCCGTCCTCGATCTGGTGTGATCCGACGTCCTTGTTGTGTCGGTCAGCTCGATCTGCGATGGCCTCCTTCGGTCTGGCATTGACTTGTTCCCGGGATTGTTGATAGTATCACTGGACTCGATATATCCATCGCCGCGCGTCTCGATCACGCCGTCTCGTACATCCGACCGGCAGTGTAGCCTCCAAAGTCGATCTCGGATCCCACCCATGTACCAAATAGTGAGGGGTATCTCCCCGGATCCGATCGTGAGCCGTATTGATCGCGAAGGTGAGGCGCTCGGCATATTCGTCCCAATCCTTCTGATCAAGATCGCGGACGTACAGCTTGAGCGCCCTGGCCGCGGTCTGCACCATTCTATCGGTGGTCCCGTTGGCCTGCGGCCGATATGCCATCATCGCTCGCTGCAGTTGTCCCAAGATCTCGTTAAATGCCCGGAAGAAATGAGACATGAAGCCGGGTTCTCGATCGTGCCGGATCATCTCCCTGGCACCAAATCGCCGAAATACGCACTCCTCGTACGATTCTGCAACCGTCTGGGCCGATCGGGACGAGCTGGCTTTCGCGATCACATATCCCGTGAACAGATCGACCCAGATCAATAACTCAGTGTTTCCCTTGTGGGACCTGGGTAGCGACGGTATGTGATCCATCGCAATGATCTGGAACGGGTACGTCGCCTGCAAGTTCCCCGGTGTTTCACCCTTTTCCTGTTTCGCAATCCACGCATTCCCCCACATATCGCTGAACGCTCCGGTATAATCCTCTCCAATGGAAGTGATCCCTCATCCGCTGGTAGGATCGCCCACTTCCTGATGTCCTCCTTCCAACGTGGTGTGATAGTGATGTAAGACGTCCGGTTGCAACGTTTCGGGGACTAGCAATCTCATCAATCGGTCGCGATCGTCTCCCGATCTCGGCGCGGGGGGGGCAGGAAAAGAGTAGACCCTGCTCGTCTACCTCGTCGTCGGCCGCGATCTTGCCATACGATCTTCCTTCCGCTTGTGTGAGTTCTGCGATTGAGCCACTCAGATACTTCTTCATGCCGGCGATCCAGACTTCTTCCTCTTGGGCCTGCTTGATCCGTTCGACTCGGATTTCCCGGATCAGAACCTCCTCCATGACACCCGCCGGTGGTCTTGTTCGACCAGCACTGTCGACGAGGGCTCAGTTACCACCGGATTCTCGGTCTTAGGGATCAAGTGTGATGTAGCGCTTGGAACTTTTGCTCCCAGGCCACGACGCAA